AGAGATCCCATGTGACTGCAGCAATCGTCCTGTTAGTTCGGAGACGTTCTTGATGTAGGGGAGCACTATTCATTTGTTTTGCTTGCTCAGGTGACTGCTGCCGCTTCTGCTGTTGAGGAGAGGTTCGTTTCTTTAGGCTTCTTCTGATGAAATTTCTCGAATAACCGTTGTTTCTAAACACTTTATATAGGTGTTTTTCCTCTTTCCGCAATTCGGCTGTGCTGCAGTGCGTTTCCGCTCTTTTGAATAGGGCTTGAATGCAGCTCTTTTTGTGATTCATCGGGTGGTTGCTGTGGTAGTTTAATATCTGGTCCGTATGCGTTTTCTTCCGATATACGCACGTTTGCAGAAATCCGTCGGGATTCCTAGTGACCAGCACATCCAAAAATGGTAACTTGTTATCCTTCTCTAATTCAATCGTAAATTTGATATCCCCGAATGTGTTGTTGAGCAACTCATGCGTGGCTTGTACTCTGTTCTGTTTTACGATGACAAATGTGTCGTCCACATATCGTATCCAGAGTTTTGGGCTGATAGACGGCAGTGCGATGCGCTCCAATTTCTGCATTACGGCCTCTGCATTGGGCCCCGAAATTGGGGATGCCATGGGAGTTCCTCTCGGTTGCTGGTATACTTGTCCATCAAAGCGGAAATAAGTGGTCATGCAGAGGTTCAGGAGTTCCCAAGAACTTTCGGGTCGTATGGTTGTCGTTGGGCTTAGCTGATTCTCAAATAGTTCCATCATGGTTTCTTTGGCCAGTTCATGACCGATTGAAGTGAAGAGCGCGGTGGCATCGAAAGAACCAACCAACCAACCAAATTGCCAAGCTCAGCGATCGGTTCTCCGATCGCATTCAGCGCCCTACCACATAGTCCCTAGTTAGTCATCTTCCAGTGCCTTATTTTTAGTCTTAAGAGTTAGCAATCTAATAAACATTTTTCTAGCTTATTTCCGTGTATTCTGCCGTACATCTTTGGCTGGCCATTTGAGTCTGAGTTTCGGATACCGACTTATAATTGGTGACGCACTTACAACTAGTGAGTCTTCTAGTAACCTCTCTTTTCAAATTCGGCCACTTTTTATTATCTACATCTCTAATCTTCTATACTTTTAATTTTGGGTTTCCATTCTGCTGGCCCAGTGATTTTCGCCATGAAGGTTATAAATCCAGGTTCTGATGACCAGATTAGTACAGTTAGTCTTCCTATACCTCCTTTTCGGGAGACTAATCCTAGGGCCTGGTACTCGCAGATAGAATCGCAGTTCCTTTTACATCGTATTACCTCTGGTTACGTTAAGTTCCACTATGTCGTAGCCGCGCTCCCTCCGCATGTTATCGATGACCTCGATGACATTCTAGGTCTGCCCGAGGAGCAGCAAATTTATGAAACGATTAAAGCCGCAGTTCTGAAAAGAACAGGCTTGTCCGACTGACAAAAAGTAACAAAACTCTTAAGCGAAACGCAACTTGGTGATCTTAAGCCGCCTCAATTGTTAAGAAAATGCAGAGCCTAGCAAAACCCACCTCTGTAGATGACAATTTTCTCCAGGAGATGTGGTTACAACGACTGCGCCGTGAAATGTGCCATGTGTTTTTCGCTAATGGCGATGCTCCACTGTCGCTGTTAGCTGACGCCGCAGAGCGTATCTGGGAATCTTACGCCCAACTTTCGCAGGTTCAAGCGACCCCTGATGCTGAGTTAGCAGACATAGGGCGCAGATGGCCGAGTGTAATAAACGACTCGAAGGTATTTCAATTTCCGTATCTAATCGCCAATCTCGTCCTAAAAGCTGAACCCGTTTTCGATACTCTTCTAAGTCCCTGCCTAGACCATCTTATTGCTGGTACCACAAACGATTTGGTCCGGAAGCTAGATCGTGCCGTGCCATGTTGCTTTAAGCACCAAACACAGGAAAACGGACCGACCAGGACTTAGGGGCGACGGACGTCGTTGATTATCGCAGTAATCTTTTCTTCTTCACCGACCGGAAAACGTGACTACACTACCTTGTTGACACAGGCGCAGAAGTTAGCGTTATCCCACGCGATCCCACTGACGTTACTGAGAAGCTGACTAGCTCATTGCGCGCAGCAAACGGAACCATCATTCCAGTGTATGATCAACGCTCGCAAACGCTCAAGCTTGAATTACGACGATCTTTTAAATGGGTACTCCTCGTTGCAGACGTTCAAACACCCATCCTCGAGCTCGGATTGCTGCAACACTACGACTTGATTGTAGATACAAAGCAACACCATCTCGTTAACCGTTTAATGAGGCTCCGTCATTGGGACTTTGACCGATACTGAGTCAATCAATCCATTGAACGCGACTCAGATGAGCATACCCATCGAGCAAATGCTCCTCGACCGTTTTCCACATGTCTTTCGTGTTGTCACTTCGATGCCCGCCGAAACCGGTGCCGCGTATGTGTTGGTGACCAGAACAAAGGATGGTGAATTTCCAACATCCGTCCACAGGAAAGGCACAGATATGGACCAAATTTTGAACTTCAACGGCAAACACCCAAAGTGCTATAGAATAAACTGTGTGCGGAAACTATTTCGCGGGATTGAAACATAAAGGTAAAACAGTGGGTCCCCTTCAGCCATTTCGTCAGAGCAGTGAGAAGACATAACTTGCGATATGTTAACATTTCGATTGTTCTCTTCAGTCGCAAACAAAATACAAGCGGGACTAATGAACAGTTATATACAGGGGGAAAAAGTTGGCACACCAATCAAAATGTAAAAATCAAGACCACGGTAACCTAATTGAATGTCTCAATAGTTTCTGTGCACACAACACAGGTTGATAAGCCCTAATTAACAAAGCCTCGCTAATTGCCAAGATAATCGGATTGTTGTTGCGCAATAACACCTTGAACGCAGTGTCCGGGTTCACCTGATGTCGGGTTGCCAAGAGATGCTTGGTGATAGATGATGCGGGACTCCTGTTCCTTCTCGGATTCACTCCGTCTTGTTGCGTCATCAGTTGCTCCAACCACCTCGGTACATGTTCAGCTACCCTCTGAGCTAACTGACGGTCAGTCCTGCCTATGTAAATGTCACCGCAACCGCAAGTGAACTGGTAAACGATGTGAGAGGCCGAACTGACTGATGAGTTGCTCTGACGGTCATGAAGAACAAGGCTTCGTGTTGTATGTATGAGTCGCAACTGAGCGGTCGCGTAGGTGCGCGTAAGGGCGGACCGGAGTTTATGTCCGATATCATTCGATACATGGTCTCCTTTGAACGGCAAGAACAAGTAAACATTCTTTTTCTCAGCGGTTAACACCGATATTTTCTCCTTGGGAGGCCTGCTGTGGATCTGAATGAACTTCTCAGGATACCCATTTGACACCAAGGTTTTGAACAAAAAGTCTTCTTCAGCTTGCAACATTTCGGGGCTGCATATCCGTCTTGCTCTGTAGAAAAGTGTTTTCACTAGGCCACGTTTGTATGCGACCGGGGCAAAGCTGGAAAAGTGGAGGTACTGCCCGCTCCAAGTGGCCTTGCGACAAACCGTGCGCTGTAGTGTACCATCGGTCCGTCTCTTAATGAGTACGTCCAAAAATGGCAGACTATTTTGTTGCTCCAACTCATGGGACACCGATAGATTCGGATGAATTGAATTCAGAACTGTCAATAGCCGCGCAAAATGTTCGTTTCTGGTGAAGACTAGGATGTCGTCCACATACCGCTTGTACAACGTAGCTTCACCAATGCTGGCAGTTACTTGTCTTTCTATCAGGCAGGGATTGAAACACACTGCAGTACAGCGGAAGCCAAACGGGAAGAAGAGAAACATCTATTCGATTCGTTTGAGCGCAATGGATACCCACGCAGCTTCATCCGCAGATGTCTAAACCACAAACCTACAAACACCGAGTCGATACCAAATGTAAGCAAGAGGGTCGTTTTGCCGTATATGAAGAACATACCTGAAATGACTGCTAGATTGCGCAAACAACACCGCATCGTGGTCGCTCACAAGCAAATCGCTACTTTGAGAAGAATACTGTCAAACCCAAAGGGCATCCGGAAAGTACAAGAACGAACAAACGTCGTGTATAAAATAATTTGCAATAATGGTGAAATGAACTATGTGGGACAGACAGACAGGAAGGAAACTATCCACAAGAATACAAGAACATCAGAGGGCTTGTAAAAAACATTATGTATCGTTTTTGTCTCAGCGCACGTGGATGAGAAGGGACATAGCTTCAATTAGAACAAAACGGAGATTCTAACTCAAACAACAACACAGAAAGGAAGAGAATTCCTAGAAGCATGGTACTTCGATCAACATGCGCATCGACATTGACCCCGTGTACCATCAGCTCAGAAAGAAAGATCTCCGGCGAATAGAAAGACATGGTTCAGTCGCGGAGGCAAATAGGCAGAAAGCAGGTGGCCCAAATCGAAATTGCCACCTTCAAAAGTCACCTGCCCGTCGATTATGGACTGACGATTCAATAAGCAGGATTGTACACTGCATATCACCGTAATGAAGATGCCACCTCGCATGGTGGTGAAACGTATGCAATCCCTTTATCAAGCTCGGAGAAACAATCAACAGGTGACATTTTGGTTTGTTCGAATTTCTGCGCATGTCATCTGGTTTGCGCAACGCAGCGCAAACATTTCAGCGTCTTATAGATTCCATCACCTGTGGATTAAATTTCGTCTATCACTTTATCGACGATATATTAGTAACCAGCGCATCGGAGGAAGCTCATCGAGAGTACCACAAAATCCTCTTTGAAAGACTCGCTGCCAATAGTTTCGCTGTCAATCCAGACAAGTGTACCTTTCAGCAGTCGTCTACAGTTCTTTGGTCATCACATTAATCAACAACGAATACGGCCTTTAGACGACAAGGTCCAAGCTATCCGTGACTTTCCGCTTCCGAACACAGTAGCTGCCATTCGCCGTTTTAACGGCATGATTAATTACTATCGATGATTTCTTCCGCATTGTGCTGATTTACTCATCTAGCTGACCGACCTACTCCGTGGTCGCAAGAACGGGGATGTAGAACCTACTTTGCCGCTATTGCAGCTTTTAACAACAGTAAAAATGCTTTAGCCGCTTCAGTTATGCTTCATCATTTTGACGCCAAAGCGCCACTTAGCATTGACGTCGATGTATCGAGCACCGCTATTGGCACGGTCTTATAGCAGATGACTAATGGATGTTGGAAGTCATTAACTTTTTATTCTAGACGCTTGCAACCAGCACATTCAACCGAGAACTGCTGGTTGCTTACTCGACGATCCGGCACTTCCGACACGTCCTCGAAGGTAATCACTTTGTCATCTTCACCGACCATAAGCCAGTAACATTTGCCTTTCGAAATCGATCAGCTCGAGACTCACCGCGTGAGGTTCGCCAGCTGGATTTCATCGCCCAATTTTCGACCGATATTCAACAAAGTTCTGGTCAACAGAATGTTGTCGATGATGCTCTGTCAAGGGTGTCTGCAATTAGCTCCGCCCAGCACGTAATTGATCTATCTGTCACGGCAGCGGCGCAATCAACTGATCAGAGTTCTACAGAGCTTTCCGATTCTTTCTTGAAGATATCTCCACACCCCCTGTCATCATCTGATGGCAAAATCTTGTGTGACACTTCTACAAGACGACGTCGACCGTCGTTTCTGAAAGCTTTGGCCGTCTTATTCTCGATACGCTCTACAACATTGCTCGTCCAGACATTAAAGCCACGGTCAAACTCAGATCCGATCGATATGTTTGGCCTGGGATGCAAGGTGATCTTACGCGTTGGGCACGCACTGGTCGCAGTGCCAGCAAGTCAAAATCCGACGGCATGTATCCGCTCAACTTGGTCACTTCCCGCCCGGTTCAACGCGATTCGCCCATGCCCATCTCAAGATAGTTGGACTGGTCTACATTTTGACCATGATCGATCGTTGCACCCGTTGGCCCGAAGCCGTCCCCATTCCTGACGTACCTGCATAAATCGTTACACGCGCTTTTGTCGAGCGCTGGATTGCTTCACGCGACTTTCCAGCCATAGCAACGACCGACCGCGGTCCGCAATTCGAATCTTCGATTTCTAACGATCATCATAAACTCAATGGATGCCGACGCATTCGTATTACCGCCTATGATCCACAGGCGAACGGCATGGTGGAACGTTTGCACCGACAGCTGAAAGCTTCACTCAGCGCCGCCAATGCACTGACTGAAAGTCTGTCCATGATACTTCTTGGCATCCGATCATCCCTCAAGACCGATCTGCAAACGTCCAGTGCCGAACTGGTATATGGACAACTAGGTTTACCTGGTGATTTCTTTTCCGAGTCCCAGAATCCCCCGTTACGACGCAAACTACGCTCGGCAGTTAGCCACGAGCA